TTCTATACTTCCAGTTCTCAAACTATCTTTTCCTCTCCTCCCGGTAGGCAATTGCTTTCCCTAATTACCAAACTTGGACACTAAATCAAACCCTCGTTCTATTGCTCTCTGCACTTCTTAGTGAAAGGAAGGATTTGTTTCGGTCCCACATGTTGAAAAATACATGTTCCTATAATTAAGAGTCTGCATGCCACGCCTTCTGCCACATTTCCCTGTTAAAAGTCCCTTTTCTAAAAATGATCCCTGAAAACACAACTGCCAGCCCTCATCCTTTCTCAGCCACGGCACACAGATCTGAAGACCTTCGGCAGCCCTCCTAACCCCGCCAGGTCAGAGTGGGCAATGATACGGATTCTCGGTTAAAATGTAAGAGTGCAAAGAGCTGGAGTTTTTACAAGTGTGGTCCCAAGAGACTCGTTTTCCCACAAGCTCATAATGAATTCACCCCAAGTGAATTTCTCACATCCTGACTGGACTATATAAAAAGATTTCATATGCTGCTATATAACAATACATAAGAATAACCATTACATTCTTTCAGTTAAATCCCACTATGTAATAGGCCACACGGGATCTAAAAAGATACAACACTTTTGTTCTCTCGCAAAAAGCCCCAATTTTTAGTCAATATTTCATAAACTTTTTGTGACATTTTAAAATACTGCCCCCCTCCCCCAATCATCCCCAACCCTCATACTCCCAAGTATTATTGGGAGACCAGGGTATATGGGGAAGGGGGTGGTCTAAGGATACAGACAAGCCCTTACACGTCCAGTCCTGGAGGTATTTTCACACATAAGCTCATCGGGAGCCCAAGGAGTAAAGGTTACACCACCACCACCCCCCAAAAGTGCCCGATCGCATTGGGAAACAGGAGTTCGGGAAAGGAAATCGTCCCGGGAGCAGGAGGCGCAGCTGCTACACCCAGCTGCAGCCACACAACGGTGCCGCTGCTCTCGGGTCTCCGAGAGGCGTCCAGCGCCCTTACCTGGGGGTGGGCGCCGCCGGCACTAGTTCCAAAAGTTCTGGATCACCTTCTCCCGGAGTTCAAAGCCCCAGCACTCTGGCCCCGCCACGGGCCAGCAAACCCGAGTCCGGTCCCGTCCCGCTCCCGCCGTCCCCACCCTCCGGGCCCTACACCATGTCAGGAATCCGGGCAGACACCGAGCTGGGAGCTGACATCACTCCCGGGCCCAGGTACCTCCCCCTCCCTCCGCCGCCTCTCTCCTCCCTCCCGGCAGGGATTTAGCCAAAGAGCGTTCGCAGGGGGGCGGGTTCGGCAGCGCCTCGCCTCCCGCTGATTGGGCCGGGGCGCAGTCACTCAGAGGAGCCAACTAATTTTATACATTCCTCGCTGAGCCAGACTAGGGCTGGAAGTGGGTGTTGATGGAAAAAAAAAATGCTGCCTTTCCTGCTATCTCTCAGGGAAGGAGATGTATGGGGAAGCACCTCGCGGGTCGGGGTTTTAAACTTTTCTTTGGCGTACTCACTGCATCCCAGATCTGAAATGAAACTAACGCACCCCAACCCCCTTTTTAAGGAAAAACCATTGCCTCTGTGTCACGGGCAAGTCCGAGTCCGGCGGTGCGCGGAGCAGAAAATGGCTAGCTGTAAGGCATGCAAATAAAGGAACACGCCAGCTCCCTCTGCTCCCCCTTTACCTGGGGACTGCTGGGTGTTCCCCTAGACGGGAGGTTTAGAACTTCAAAGGCACTTGGGGGAAATTTGGAAGCCAATGCTAGGAAAGGCGACCAGCTGTGAATTGTTAACTTGCAGCGTTATCCGACCATGTGACTGCTTGTGCTGTTCGCGATGAAAATCAATCACACCACGCGAGCTTCCAGGCAAATAAAAGCGAAATGAGAAAAATTATTATTTACCTGTTTCCCAGCCTTAACGCTGCTGTTTCCATGCACAACTGAAAAGGAGGGGAACTCACAACTGAGCTGAACAAGCCACAGGAGAATAATTACTGTTGAATGGAACCAATTGCAGAGGCTGAGCTATCAATTAAGAATTAACTAACATTTACCCTCGACGGATATCACGCTGTATAATCCCCTTGCCTAACAGAACAGAAAGATTCTCAGGAAATGGTTCTTTCGTTGTGTCTCTCTGCTCCCGGGCAGAACTGCAGGGTGAGACGTGGCTCTATTTATATGAGACATATAGGTAGCTTATTATCCATCATCTTCTGGAAGGACAATGAATTAATTATTGACTTTCTGTTGGATTAGATTTTCTATGATGGATGACAATGTTGTACATTTCACCATCCTGCCATATTTGTAGAGGGATGTAGAGTCCAACACTGTGCCTCATTTAATCCTCTCCACCATCCTATAAAGTGGGCATCATTGGCCTCATTTTTTTTATCGAACAGTTTTATTTTTTAATAACTTTATTTTTATTGTTGATACTATTACAGATGTCCCCACCTCCTGCCGCCATTAGCCCCCTTTTAACCTAAGAATCAAAGGCTCGGCCAGGTTACCTAAGTACATTTCACCAGAACACTCAGAACTGGGGTTGAAACCAAGATCCATTAGACTCGAAAGCCATTTTTTCTCTTTACTTGAAAGCAATGACTGCCCACAATCTGCACTCATTCGAACAGTATAATGCTAAAAAATAAATAAATAAAAATCCCCAGACCTACTTTATGTTATTGCCCTTGTTAGACCTACACCATGCCAAGCTCCTACCTTACACTTCCGACTCCATTTTCCCCCAGCTCTGTGCGCCCCTACCAGATGAGTTTTCTAAAACACTGTTTGGTTTTGCCATCAAGATCTTCCCCTCTAAATTCTGGCCCCCTTTCTGGGCAATTGTTGGCTAGCCATTTAACACTCTCCCTAACCTGGTCTATTTACCTCTCCCACCTTATCTCCCACTTCAGTCCTGGGAAACACTGCTACAGACTAACTGGTCTCCTCACAGATCTCGGCTTGATTCTCTTCTTCTGGCCTAACTGGAAACCCCACTCTTCTGTGTGTGTGTGTGTGTGTGTGTGTTTCCTATGCACAGGAATAATAAGGTTGTTTTTTTACAATCCTACATTTAGAGTTCTTTATTTATCCTTAATTCGCATATTATGGTCTGTTGTTTTTGTTTTTTTGAAAAAGAACTTTTAAGAGCTATTCTCTTAGCAACTTTCAAATATGTAACACAGTCTTATTAACTATAGTCACCATGCTACACATTACATCCCCATGACTATTTTGTCACCGGAAGTTGGTACCTTCTGACCCTCTTCTGCATTTTAAGTCCTACCCTTCTCTCAAAGCTTAATTAACCAAAGTCCTGTCCTTGCTGTGCACTATGTGGACAGAAAAAGGGCTTCGAGTCCATTGCCCAGTTCTGCTACTTACTTGCTGTGTAACTTGGCCAAGTCACTAAAACATCCATCAGCTCTCTCTTCTATGAAATGGGGCTGATGATGCATCCAAGGTTATTGTAAGCTTTATTGCGATTGTACAGATGTGTAAACATATGGTAATATATGTCTACCTATATACGTTTTCTATCTTCCCAAACCCCCCTCCATTCCTTAAATAAACCATACCCGGAAATACCTCCAAATAATCTTGAAGCCAAGATTAAGCCAAGAATAATCTTGAACCCATCTCTCTCCCCCTCCCCCAGCCCTTTTGGCCAGAGTCCTTCCCTCTTCCCACTCTGCCACCATTCATGCAACAGTCCTTCACCCTGTCAGATATTTTATGCACCAAACACTTAACCTGCCTCTTAGCCACTCATCCTTCGCTCCCACAGTCAGGGACACACTTGTCTGTCGTGCCTGTTGCCTGCCTCCCCTT